AAAAAACCATGCCCCTCCTCACCCAGTAAAGCTGCTGAAACTGGTCCCCAGACTCCCAAATGGAGGAGGACTCTGCAGAAAGTTTGCACTCTCTTCATCTCTCTCTCTCTCTCTCTCACTCACTCACGCATGTGTGCATACACACCTTTATGTAGAACAGCAAGCTGTTGGTATAGAAGCTGTGGTTTTATCAGGGCAGGAATCATAGTCACAAAGATCAATGCTGCAGTAAAGTGGAAAGAAGGCTGCAGCCAACTGAAATCATTGGTCTGGGGCTGGAAAAGGGAGGGGAAGAGGAGGGAGTGATGTGGGCAGGTCTGGCAAGCAAGGGCAGAACCGCAGCAGGAAGCTGACAGCCTAAATCATGTGGCAGTGTGGATTTCCCCTGTCCACTTCACTTCCCAATTTTACATCCTTTCATTGCACATGTCACCCACAGAGCGCACTCTGTGCTAAAAATGGGTAGAAGTGATTGATTTATTCATTCAAATGACAAACATTTAATGATACCTGCCAAGTGCCAGGAATTTTCTGGAGGGATAAATAGTTGTTAATCAGGGAATTAAAGGTAGTCTAGGTAGAGAAAGTAATGTGACAAATTGTGGTAGAATAAAGCAGGATGTTACATTCCAAGAACTATATATGTTTTGATGAGAAGGGGGCATAGAGTTCCAGGCAGAAAAGTGGGAGATGAAATTGCAGAGGTAGGATAGAGTCAGTTCATAAAGAGCCTTAGATGCTGCATTAAAATGTCTGGGTAGCAGCACCTGGGTGGCTCAGTTGGACGAGTGTCCAACTCTTCATCTTGGCTCATGTCATGAGCTCATGGTTCAGGAGATTGAGCCCGGTGTGGGGCTCTGTGCTGACAGTGCAGAGCCTGCTTGGGATTCTCAGTGTCCCTCTCTTGGGATTCTCAGTCTCCTCTCTCTCCCTCACTTCCTCATGCATGCGTGCTCTTTCTCCCTCTCTCAAAATAAATAAACATTTTAGAAAAAAATTTTTTAAATATCTGGGTAATTCACTAACCATTTGAGAAAAAAAAGTTCATTTCCTACCTCATACTATACATAAAGGCAAATTTCAGAAGGTTTAAAGGTTTGAATATTAAACAACAAACAATGTTAAAAGAAGAAACAGAAGAATATTTGTATAATCTTGGGTTAGAAAAGGCCTTTCTCAACTTTACAACCAAAGTTGTAAATGTTGACAGTTTTCACTAGATAAAAGTGAAAATTGTGCAGCAAAACCAGCATAAGCAAGATTAAAAGACAAATAACAAAGTAGAAAAAGTTTGTAATATATAATAGTTTTCAAAGCTTACTTTATAAATAATTGCCATAAAATTAAGAAAAAGAAATATTTTGAAAAAAATATGCAAAATTCTTCACAGGTAGCTATCAATAGAAAAAAGAAAAAAGGGGTGCCTGGGTGGCTTAGTCGGTTAAGCGTCCGACTTTCGCTTAGGTCATGATCTCGCGGTTCTTGGGTTCGAGCCCCCCGTCGGGCTCTGTGCTGACTGCCAGCTCAGAGCCTGGAGCCTGTTTCAGATTCTGTGTCTCCCTCTCTCTCTGACCCTCCCCTGCTCACGCTGTCTCTCTCTCTCTCTCTCTCTCTCCTAGAAATAAATAAAACATTAAAAAAATTTAAAAAAAAAAGAGTCAGACACTTAAGCAAGTAAGCCATCCAGGTGCCTCCAAAATAGTATAATCTTTCTACAGGGTAATTTGGTAATATATATTAAAATTTTAAATGTGCATCACTTCTGATCCAGCAATTTTAAAGAATTTAGTCAAAGGAAATAAAAACAAAAAGTGACCAGGATATTTACTGTGTTGTTTAAAGGAAAGAAAAATTAAAAATAAATAAATAAATAAGAAAAAAATTACCCAAATGTTCATAAGAAGGGATTTAGCAAAATAAATTACTGTACCTCTATACAATAAAAACAATATAGCCACAAGGAGAAAGTAGATCTGTAGTGAAAAAATGTTTATGATACATTGTTAAGTGGGGGGAAAAACAGGAGGTTACCAGGGTCCCTGGGTGGCTCAGATGGTTAAGCATCCAACTCTTGATTTCAGCTCAGATCATGATCTCATACTTCCTTAGTTCAAGCCCTGCATCAGATTCTGTGCTGATAGAACAGAGCCTGCTTGAGATTCTCTGTCTCTCTGTCTGTCTGCCCTTCCCCCAACTCGTGCTCTCTCTTTCTCTCTCTCTCAAAAAAGACAAAAAACAAAAACAAAAAACAACGAGGTTACCAAAAGCAAGTTTGGCACTAGTTGTATTCAGCTCATTCAGCTCCAAAGATCAAAGTTCTAGGGCTTCAAAGGCCAGGGTGCCAGTCTGCTCCTGGATGAAGGTTGTGCACAATGAAGGAGGAGGCTGGCCCTGAGTCGAGGAAGGTTGGGGGTGGGGATTTCTTCTCCAGCTCTGTCACAGCCACGCCAGAGCCCAGGAACCAGATTTCTGCAGTGGAGCCCAGATTTCCTTCTCTGGGCAGAATGTGGGTCAAGGTTAAAGCCCTGGGTACTTGCTGGTACCCTTCCTACTTCATTAGGCTAAGAAGATGACTTCTCTGAGCTCTGCTAGTGCTAGACTTTGGAAATTTGTTTTCATTTTTCTAGGGAATCTAGCAGATAAGTCTTTGCTGTAAGGCTGCCATTTTAGTCATAAACCAGCTATAGCCAGAACACTTGCCTTGGTCGTATTCTGTTAGAGGAGAGATATTTGAGTCCATTTCTGAGGGGCAAGAGGATCATAACATTTCACAGTCCTCTGTAATACAGTAGTAGGTATTTGGTAAACAAGAAGCTTCATATAGGCCTAGGATTCCAGTAAGATCTTAGCAAGCAAAATAGTTTCTTCACTTGAGAAAATATTTCAGGATATGAGCATTGGACAAACTATTACTACTTAAATGACCAATTAGTAGCTAATTAGAGCTCTGGAACTCCCAGGCTAGGCCCTGTCTGGAAACCCTCTTGGGACTGAAGTAGTAAATCCAGTGTACAACCCTCACTGATCAAAAACATTCTCCAGAGAAAGTCTCCACACTGTTTTTTCCTGCCTAAGGTACCAGGAGCTCAATTCTTACACTCTTAAAAAATGCCTTTTCTACCCCACCCCCACCCTACAGAGATGAGGAGGACAGAAGTCACAGTGCAATTCTCAGGCTCAGATTAGTTCCACTCCTGTCAGCAGTTCTGGGCCACCATCCAGACCAGAATGGCTGCTGTGGTTGGTTCAGTTTTCAGTGGAGCTGACTCATAATGCTCACTGCCTCTCAAGGAACTTAGAAAGTAATATTAAATACATGGGAGGGCTGTGTTTTTTGTTTTATGTTCAACCTTCTTGCTAGTCTACAGTGGGGGGCAGCAGGAACCCCAGTTCTTGAAAGTGGGAAAATTGTGGCATTGATTAACTCAGCAAATACCTACCTGTTCAACACTTTCTCTGTTGTTAACATGAATAAGGAACTTGCACACGTATGACAGATATAGGTGAATGGGGTGATGGCAAGATTCCATTAACTTTCTGGCTCCATCTTGGTCCCCTTTGCATCCTCATGACACTCAAAAGTAAGCACTAAATGTGTGGCTAGCCACCCGAGAGCTATTCCCTTCTGCCTGAGGCATTCATGCATTTATTCCACATTCACTGAACATTATCTGCTTTCAGGCCATGTGCTAGATGCTGGAGATGCAAAGGTGAAGATGTGGCCCTGCCCTCAAGGAATGGACATTTCAGTGCAATGGTTCTCAATCTATTTTCTCTTTGATGTTATGGGGTACTTGCTACCATCCTATCCTTGACTTACCAAAATCATGGTCCATTGTGGGGGGAGGGTGGAAAAAAGAAATAATAATTATAGAACGATGTGATAAGTGTTATCTGTGATAGAAATAAGCACAGGGTAAGGTGGAAATACAGAGAAAGGAGCACTGAAAATCAGATTAGGAATGGGGAGGTTGTCAGGAAAGGTGTCTCAGAATGGTGACACTTGAACCCAGTTTTTTTTTTTTTTAAATGTTTTATTTATTTTTAGGAGAGAGAGAGAGACAGACAGCGTGAGCAGGGGAGGGTCAGAGAGACAGGGAGTCACAGGCTGAAACAGGCTCCAGGCTCTGAGCTGGCAGTCAGCACAGAGCCCGACGCAGGGCTCGAACCCATGAACTGCGAGATCATGACCCAAGCACAAGTTGGACGCCCAACCGACTAAGCCACCCAGGCGCCCCATGAACCCAGTTTTGAGAGACAAGTAAGAGTTAGGCAAATAAGAATCTGTGAACTGGATGTGGGAGATCTGTAACATTATGTTACACTCAGGGATTTCACACAGTGCTTTATGGTTAGAGCAATATGAGGTGTATGTGAGGGAGGAGAGAGAAGATGTCAGATGGTGGAAGCCCTGTGGGTCAGGATAAGGAATATTATGCTGAACATTATGCTAAGTTTAGTGCTCTGGGGAGATATCAGCTAGGGGTTTGGAAATCAATTCACATAAGGAATGGCTGGGGAAATGGGTCTCTTTAAGTTGAGGAGAAGACGTAAGGGGGAAAAAAAACCTGGTTTATAGCATGTGCAGAATTTTTTATTATTTTTTTTACAAATAGTTTATTGTCAAATTAGTTTCCACATAACACCCAGTGCTCATCCCCACAAGTGTCCCCCTCCATGCCCATCCCCCCTCCCCCCCACATCCATCAGTCCTCAGTTTTTGTCAGCATTCAAGAGTCTCTCATGGTTTGCCTCTCTCCCTTTCCCCCACCATTTCCCCCCTTCTTCTCCCCCTTGTTCCTCCGTCAAGTTCCTCCTAATCCTCCTATATGTGCAAACATATGATATTTGTCCTTCTCTGCTTGACTTATTTTGCTCAGCATAACACCCTCAAGGTCCATCCATGTTGCTACACATGGCCAGATTTCATTGTTTCTCATTGCCATGTAGTATTCCATGGTATAGATAAACCACATCTTCTTGATCCATTCGTCTGTTGATGGACACTTAGGCTCTTTCCATGTTTTAGCTATTGTTGAGAGTGCTGCTATGAACCAGAATTTTTTATTCTATATTACCTCAGAATTAGAAAAGGTCATTTATCCTAGCTTGGCAAACCATACATGATGATCTAGTTATGGGCAGGTCTCCATTAACCTCTTTGGTCAGTTGCCCAAACTGCTCAGCCATATGGGATAGCCCTGACTCTTCTCCCACTCTGGTCTTAGAGTTCTCAGATTAGGGTCTACTTTGTCAGCCCTGATGTACCTCTGGGGAAGGTGGGAGGAGAGAATATCTTTAGTTGCAGAATTACAGCTTACAGAGGGGCTGGCTAAGGGAACATGACTAAGGGTGCCGTGAAAGGCGGGATCCTACTTTGTGGTTAAAGGTGTGGTTGAGGCTGGGAATGAATCAGTGAAGCCTTCTTGCCCAGAGGTAAAGCTCTTCTTTTCCATAGGTATGATTTCTCAGAGCCTTTTGTCCATGGTCTTTCTTTCTTTCCCATCTGTCAACGGCAGAGTGGCCCTGAGAAGAACAAGCCAGAGTCATTACAATGGGTGTGGGCTTTTCTAGTCTCAACATCATTACTCACCTAATTGCAGTGCTACTGACATTCAAGGGACTCTGGAAGCTTTGGCCAAGATATCTAGAAGTATGAATACATGAAAGAGGTAAATTTTCTTTTTCCTGCTTCTAGGCAGAGAAGACCCTACCAGCCAGGACAAATGGGCCAGAAGGTTAGATAGGCTAGGAGTCCTCAAGTCTTTTATTTGACTTTCTCTAGCTCAACCTGGGGAAATTTTGTCTCCCAGAGCACATTTGGTAATGTGGGGGTGGGGGGTGGGGGTTGCTACTGGCATCTAGAGGGCAGAGTGTTGTTAAATATCCTGTTATGCACTGGACAGCCCTCCACCCTTCCAACAAAGAATTATCAGACTCAGAATGTTGGTAGCACTGATGCTGGGAATAAGTGATAAAAACTTATGTTTGTAAGGATTTGTTTTGGGGGGGGTGATAAAAAAGGATTTGAGCGGTAGTTCCTAAGGTATCAAGTGACTAGAGGTAAAAGCCCACTTTAATTGTATAAACATAGCCTACAAGTTTGCTGTTAGGCTAGTTTACTGATATGCCCTGATGGACTTCCCCTTTACTGCTCTGGTTTCAACTGATCTGTGTGTTCATTCTAGTTCTATAACAGGGGAGAAGGAAGATGGAGGAAGAGAAGAAAAATCAACACTTTGATTCTTTTTCTAGTTAGGTGCAAGAGGGTGAAAACTGGAGTCTAAAAATGAGTTTAATATATTAAATGTGTACCTTTTTAAATTATAAATACCAGTTCAGTATAAAACAGGACGACAGAAAAATAGCAAATACCAAACCATACTTGAATTTAAAGTTGGAATCACTGAAAATGTAGGAATTGGGATGTCAGATTTGTAGAAATAAAACCCAGAAATGAGTGGAAGTCAATATAGTCTCAGAAACAAGTTCAAAGGGGCACCTGGGTGGCTCAGTCAGTTAAGCGTCCAACTTCAGCTCAGGTCATGGTCTCGTGGTTCGTGGGTTCCAGCCCCGCATTAGGCTCTGTGCTGAGAGCCAGCTCAGAGCCTGGAGCCTGTTTCAGATTCTGTGTTTCCCTCTCTCTCTGACCCTACCCTGCTCACACTGTCTCTCTTTCTCTCTCTCAGAAATAAATAAAACATTAAAAAAAAATTTTTTAAAAAGGAAACAAGTTCAAATAAAGAGTAGGTAAAGAGCTATTTAAATTCATTAATTGTGGGGGGTGCCTGGGTAGCTCAGTCAGTTGAGTGTCTGACTGTTAGTTTTGGCTCAGCTTATGATCTCATGGTTTTGTGGGTCTGAGCCCTGCATCTGGCTTCACACTGACAGTGCAGAACCTGGTTGGGATTCTCTGTCTCCCCTCTCTCTCTGGCCCTCCCCCATTCATGCTGTCTCTGTCTTTCTCAAAAAACAAACAAACTTTAAATTCATTAATTTTTTGATGGATTCAAATGATGGATTGGAGGCAAGACCACAAATTTTGACACAGATGATGATAACGATGATGATCATAATAATGATTAGTATTAAGCACTTACTCTGTGCCAGAGATAACACTGTCATACCATATTCATGAAGAGAAAACTGAGGCTGAGGGGAGTTACATGGGATCTCAGTTATCTTTGTATAACAAACTACCCTGACACTTGGTGAGCAAGCCAAGGCAGGGAGACAGTTCCACTATATTCTATATAAGTAATACTATAGTCATTTTATGCATCTGAATTGCTGTGCCCTTCTAGGGGTCACGCACAGCCTAGAGAGCACCAATAGGAACACCTCCAAGTCAGTTATCATCGAAGTGTGCAAGCCAAAGCCCAGGGATTTTTAGGCCTACTGAAGAAGGGATTCTGGTAATAGGTACGAAGTAGGATTTTAAGCTCCATGTTTAGTGAGTGCAGGGCACAGAGGAGAGGGCGTAGAAGAGTACATGGCACATGGTGGGAAATTCATTTTAAATTAACTGTGGTTTCTTCCAACTCTGAGGGTCTAAGTCTCTCTATTATTTTGAGGACATAATAGTGCATAAATATTTAATCATGCATGTAACCAAGAGTTTTATATCACTCCATGAAAGGTCTGCAGTACCAAAAGCATTACCACAAATAGGGTTGCTGTGTTACCCAATTCCAGGGGCACTATTCATGGAACACATAAAGTGAATATCACCCTCTAGAGTTCTATGACACAGAGGCCCTTATAGATATAATGCAAGTTTAGTAAAACAAAGGGCCATTTCTTTCAAGGGTAGAATATACAAATAGTAGCTGAGGTTTTTTTTTTTTTTCCTAGCATTTTAACACGTTTACATAGACACACTCAGAATCCCAAGTTTTTCCTTTCAAATTCCACCAAGGTCATCACTCTAGTTGTTTATCCAATATCCTTCTCTCTTTCTTTCTTTCTAACATAACCTTGATTTTGTTAGGAGTGGTAATATACCTAACTAATAGACACATTTCCAGCCTCCCTTATAGCTAGGAGGAGCCATGTGACATAGTTCCGGGAAATATTTAAACTGAGAGATTCTAGGAGAGCTTTGCTTCCTTATTATAGTCCCCAACCCTCTTCTGGCTGCCTTGTCCATCTCCCTGGAATACAGGTATACTTTTGGAAGAAGAGCATTCTGTGAGTATAAGGTAATCGTAAGAACCAAAGCTGCATGCTAGGAGTTTCGGTACAAAAAGTTAAAAAAAAGTCTGGGTCCCTCATAGCAGCATGGAATCACTGTAACAGCCTTACACTACTTACTCGTTCAATGGGAAAGATTAATCCCTATTTGGTTAAGCTTGTTACTTGAGTTTAAACTGTTACTTGCAGCTGTATTCAAGTCTAACAAACATACTAAAAATTTTTTAATGTTTATTTATTTTTGAGAGAGAGCGCGCAAGTGGGGGAGGGGCAGAGAGAGAGATGGAGACACAGAATCTGAAGCAGGCTCCAGGCTTCAAAGGTCAGCAGAGCCCATCATGGGGCTCTAACTCAAAAACTGTGAGATCATGATCTGAGCTGAAGTCGGATGCTTAACTGACTGAGCCACACAGGCGCCCCCAAACATCATCCTTGATAATAGTTTTCCCCAGGTCGGTATCTGTAGGGCTTTATGTGTCCCAAATCTAATTTTATATATTGAATTCTTATAAATTTAAGGGTTCAAGTATTCTCTGAGAACTGTTAAATGTAATTTTTTCTTTCAGTGATAATTTAAAACAATAAAAATAAACATGTTCTGAATCATCTGGATGTGATCATAACTGAATACCGTTCTGTGATTTTGATTTCTATGATTTCGTTTGTTATTACAATTACAAGGAGGCATTTAGCTTTAATGGTTTATAGGTTTAACATTAATGGTTTATAGGTTTAATTTTAATGATTTATAAGTTGATGGCAGGCTGTTATTAGGTTAGCAACTCCTAATGTTAAAGTGATCACTGTTGCAGGGCATTTGCTTTATATTCTACTGAATTGCCTTATCTGGTATATCTAGTTAGCTATGAAGAAGAGGCAAAGGCTGTTCATGAATCAGCTAACTAATGCTTTGTTAAGTGATGGCCAGATGATGTCAAAGAACACCTCATGAACAAATGTCTCATGCTAGCTTAAAGGGAGAAAGGTTGGGGGAGAATTGAGACACCATTGCAAGGTGTAGGCAGTATAGGTATGCAGAACCCAGAAGGAGATGCACTATAGCATTAGGACCATATTCGTAGAGGGTATTGTTTGAGGAGTCTCATCTTGTATATTTTAACTTGCAATAATTCATCAGCAGCAAGAGTAGTAGTAATTAACAATGAAAACATTTTCATTAGATAGTATTTTAAATTAATATTTTTTGAATGTATTATTTACTTCTGAGAGAGAGAGAGAGAGAGAAAGAGAGAGAGAGACAGCGTGAGCAGGGGAGGGGCAGAGGGAGAGGGAGACACAGTATCCGAAGCAGGCTCCAGGCTTGGCTAGCTGCCAGCACAGAGCCCGACGCAGGGCTCAAGCCCACGACCACGAGATCATGACCTGAGCTGAAGTTGGACGCTTAACCGACTGAGCCACCCAGGTGCCACTAAATTATTAAAAAAATATTTTTCAATATTGCATTTTAGGGCAACTTATTAAAATATTGGAGTCTGGGGTGCCTGGGTGGTTTGGTTAGTTAAGTGTCTGACTCTTGATTTCAGCTCAGGTCATGATCTCCATCTGGAGCCTGCTTCAGATGGTCTCCCTCTCTCTCTGCTTCTCCCCCTCCCCCCACCTCAAATATAAATATAAATAAACATGAAAAAATAAAGATTCTCTGTCTCTCCATCTGCCCCCTCCCCTCTCACACTCTTTCTCTAAAATAAATAAGTAAATAAATAAATAAATCAATAACGTTTTAAAAATATATATTAAAAAAAGTAAAATACTAGATAGTCTGAAAGAAATGAAATAAAAGTAATAAAAGTTAAATAATTAAATTTGAGAAATGAAGCCAACTTTGGAGTTCCTCAAGAATATTTTTCCCTTCACAAGGAACTTCATGTTACTAATATTTGAGAATACTACTTTAACCTACTAGGTGGAGGGAGCCGGATCCTTCTGAAGAACTAGGCTGGAAACCAATGCTTCACCCAGCAAAGAGCCTTACTTACTTGAATTGGCAGAGAAAAAATTTTAAGGGCCTCACTTCTAAGAAATAGAGCAAAATATGATTCATGCAAGCATTTTCTCAGTTGCTGCCCTGACACCAAGCAATTCTTCCTAACAAAGCTCCATCTAATGTCTTCAGCAACCAGATAGTAACAGATATATATATATTTTTTTTTTCATTTAAATGATTTTAGAGAAAACTTACTAAGTAAATTTCACAGGTGGCAGTTTGTATGTATACTATTTGACTTCTCAAACCATTTCTTTTTGCTGTTGTTACCCTTTCCCAGGTGCAGGACACTTAAGTGCTAATGGTGGGGACCAAAGGAAATTATTATTGGTATAAACAACCCATCTTCATGAAACACCCTTCAGCCCCAAAATGCTATTCTTTTTTAGTTGCTCTTAATGGCTTTTGTACTTCCTCCTATTCTCATAGAAATTCTCTGAGGTCCTGGTCTTGTCTTACCTCTCTCTACAGGTTTTCATTACTCTCAGAGTTTTAAGTATCCTTGTTATTGTGAGTGATGTCAACAAATATAATTCATTAACTTATTTTAAAAATACCTATTGTGTCTATCATGTGCTATAGACCATGCTAAGTATTAGGGTTATAATGTGGACAAAATAGGCACAAGTTTCCACATTTCTAGCTTCCCACTGGCCATCTCCCCCTTGGAATGCTAAATTCAGCATGCCCCAAAGTGAGGTCTTTATCATCTCCTCCAAACTCTGTTTCACTGCATGTCTGAGAGGCAAACCACACTTCACCTAATTCCTCTGAGACTCATTCTTGACTTTTCTCTTTCAGTTCCTATATCTGATGCTCAGATTTTGCAAACTGCCCTCAAATCCCATCTCTCCATGTTCTGCACTACTGCCTTCATTCAGGTTCTCCACCTCTTCTCCCTGGTCATGGCAATACCTTCCTTATTTTTCTCCCTATCCCATGTTTTCTTGGTCCCCTAAATCTGTTCTCTCTTCAGCTGCCAGGATGATCAATAATACAACCCAATGTGATCATTCTTTTTTTTTTTTTAGTTAAAAAAATTATTTTAATGTTTATTTTTGAGAGATAGAGAGAGACAGAGCATGAGCAGGGGAGGAGCAGAGAACGAGGGAGATACAGAATATGAGAAGACTGCAGGCTCCAGGTTTTGAGCAGTCAACACAAAGCCTGACATGGGGCTCAAGCTCATAAACCGTGAGATCATGAACTGAGTCGAAGTTGGACACACAGCCTCCTGAACCACCCAGATGCCCCCAGTGTAGTCACTCTTTTATTTAAAACTCTGAATTTCTCTCTATACTTCCATTTTAATTTTACCCATTGGGATAAAATTTGAACTCCTTAGCCTGGCTTATGAGATACATCATAACCAATCTCTGTGTTTTTTGTCTCTACATTCTAGTCTTTGGCATTTACATTCTGCTAATAATGAATTTTTTGTACTTCCCCAAACACACTGTATTGTTTTCTACTTCTTTTACTATTTTCTCTGCTCGGAACTCCTCCTTCACTTTTCTTCTCCTTAACTCTTTAGTGATCCTTCAACACCTGAATACATGGTGTCTTATTCATTTTTGCATGTCTAGCAAAGTATAGGCCTCCTGTAAATAGAAGAATAACAAATACATAACTAAACTTCTGTGCTGTTGATTCTCAAATCTACATCTCCAATGGTGACCTCTGGACACCTCTACTTAGATGTCTGAAGAGCATCTTAGTGTCGTTTCCCTCAAACCAAACTGCTTACCTTCTCCATTAAGAAAGGAGTCAATGGGGTGCCTGGGTGGCTTAGTCAGTTAACTGTCCGACGTCAGCTCAGGTTATGATCTCATGATTTGGGTGTTCGAGCCCTGTGTCGGGCTCTGTGCTAACAGCTAGCTCAGAGACTGGAGGCTGTTTCGGATTCTATACCTCCCCCTCTCTCTGCCCCTCCCCTGCTCATGCTCTCTCTCTCTCCCTCAGAAATAAACATTTTTAAAAAATTAAAAAAAGAGGATCCCTTTAAAAAAAAAAAAAAGGAGTCACAGAATCACTAAATTCTACTCCTGAAGCCATTATTGTACTACATGTTAAACTAACTTGGATTTAAATAAAATTTTAAAAATAATAAAAGTGAAATAAAATAAAAGAAAGGAGTCAGTATAGTAATAGAGTGGACTCCAGAATCACAAAGCCTGGCCAGACCACAGTAAGGCACAACTCCAGAGGGGACCATTTACATTATAATCTATATAAATGTCACATTTGCATATTATTATACATGATGGTTCTGCTGCCTAGGATGGTATCTGGCCCAACACTTCTTAGCTGTGACTTCAGACAATTTATTTACATTCTTTAGGCATCAGGCATTTTGTCTGTAAAACAATAATAAATGTCATTATTATTTTTTTTAAGTTTTATTTATTTTTTGAGAGGGAGAGAGCACAAGCAGGGGAGGGGCAGAGAGAGAGGAGGACAGAGAATCAGAAGAGGGCTCTGCCTGAGTCTCAGGCTGACAGCAGATGGCAGGGAGCCTGATGTGGGGCTTGAACTTACAACTGCAAAACTGCGACCTGAGCTGAAGTTGGACGTTCAACCAACTGAGCCACACAGGCACTCTTGTTTGCCATTATTTTTAACTTCAAACCTGCTTCTCCTATAGTATCTCCTATGTCATTGGTAAATGACCTTACTCCTTTGAATTTTTTTTTAATGTTTATTTATTTTTGAGAGAGAGAGACAGAGAGCAAGTGGGGGAGGGGCAGAGAGAAAGGGAGACACAGAATCTGAGGCAGGCTCCAGGCTCTGAGCTATCAGCACAGAGCCTGACTTGGGCTCAAACTCATGAACCATGAGATCATGACCTGAGCTGAAGTCAGATGCTTAACTGACTAAGCTACCCAGGTACCCCATGACATTACTCCTTTGTCAGCAAGATAAGAAACTAAGGAATCAAATTGAAGGATTGATTTCCTCTTTCTTCTTACCCTAAACCTAATACAAGGCCTGTAGAAATATTTTTTCTTTCCTTCATCCCATCCTGCTGCCAATGTCCTATTAAAGTTCTGAGACTTCTCCTGTGGGTCTCTGCTTCTTTTCTCCCAGTCATTATTTTACATATCAGACAGCTCCTAGAGTCATCTTCCTAAAACACAGTTCAAATAAGTTAACTTCTCATCTCAAAAATCTTTAGTACATTCCAAAATTAATTGAGCATTCCTCCTAGGCCAGATACTACTAGGTCTAGGTCTAGTATTATAAAGATAAATAAAACAGGTAAAATCCTTCCCAGACCACTGCTAAGTAAGGAAGGACAAAACAATGATATATGTATAAACCTAGAGATAGAGGTATATGTACTAGGTACTGTAGAAGGATAAAGAAGAAAGACCCCTTGTTCCCATTTCCAAATCTTTGCTGTTCTGAGGAAAGAGATTCCATAGTCACTTACTTAGACAAGTGTTCAACAGATGTTTTCCTCTTTTCAGAACACTGTCCTGGTATTATTTCAGGTTTTTAAAAAAAATTATAGCAGCGCCTGGGCGGCTCCGTCAGATGAGTGTCAGACTTCGGCTCAGGTCATGATCTCACAGTTCGTGAGTTTGAGCCCCATGTTGCTATGCCGACAGCTCGGAGCCTGGAGCCTGCTTCGGATTCTGTGTCTCCCTCTTTCTCTGTCCCTCCCCCACTCATGCTCTGTCCCTCTCTGTCTCAAAATTAAATAAACACTAAAAAAAATGTTTAAAAAATTACATATATAAAAGTTTATTTTTTAAATTATATATAATATATATTTTAAAATTATATATATTAAAGTTTATTTATTTATTTTTGAGAGAGAGAGACAGCGTGAGCAGGGGAGAGGAAAAGAGAGAGGGAGAGAGGGAATCCCAAGCAGGCTCTGCACTGTCAGCAGGGAGCCTCATCTGGGACCCAAACTCACAAACCGTGAGATCATAATCTGAGCCGAAACCCAAGAGTCAGACACTTAACCAACTGAACCACTCATGCACCCCTCAGTTTTTTATTTCCATAGGGATAGGCTGTTAAGATTTGCTTGGGCCAGGATAACTCTTTTGGTTCTTGAATGAGACAAGTAAGCCCAAATACCTAGCCCAGGGCTGCATACAATAAACGGTCTTTTTTTTTTTTTTTCTGGCTGAAGTAGGACTGTGTTTTACTGCCCTGGGCAGTTTAACTGCCCACAGCAATAACTATCCACTATTAAGCTATGAACTTCTATATCTCCCCTGCGCCTCCAGAAGGAAATGAATAATGGCCAAATAATTGTTCAACCTCAGGCTGAGAAGTGAAAAAAAAAACAATCAAAGAAATCACTACTGTTGCAAGGTAGGATAAATGCCAAAACATTTTGAGATGTTCAACCAACATGACACTGCAATTTCCATTTCTTATCCTGCTATAATAGGATGGGGGAGTGGAGATGGGAGCAGAAAGGGGATATATTTATCACACACCTATTTTATATTAGGTGCTCTGTTGTGTCTTGGGGACACAGAGATGGAAGTAACCCAAACCTTACTTTCCAGAAAGTCTAGCAAGTAGGGGCAGGCCTGTAAACATGTAAAATAGCTTAAGAGATATTTTGTATAGCTTTTCGGTATCAGGATATTGTGTGGACAGAAAGGATGGAATGGTAAATTCTGGGGATGAGCAAAAGCCAGAACAGCTTCAGAGGAATTCTGGGGATGAGCCGAGGTCAGGAACAGTTTCAGAGGAAGTCATGCTTCAGCCGAGTCTTGAAAATCATTTTCTCTAGGCCAACTAGGAGGGAACAGTCTTCATACTTGAACAAAAGCCTGAAGTCTTGAAACAGGGACTCATTGTTCTGGGTATTACAATCAATCTAGGAGCAAGGAAGAATTACAGTAATAACAGCTAACATTCTAATGTATAATAACTAGGAACTGTGCTAAGTAAGCTACTGAGACGATCTCAAAGAATAAACAGTATTCCCATTTTATAGGTGAGGAAAGTACGGCTCTTGCCTGAAGGCCACACATAAAATGAGTTTTAACTGAGGAAACTGACTACAGAGCCCCAGTTATTTTTTTAATTTTTAATGTTTTTTATTTATTTCTGAGAGACAGCGTGAGTAGGGGAGGGTGAGAGAGAGAGGGAGATAAGAATCCGAAGCAGCAGAGCCCCAGTTTTTAAAACCACAAATCAGAGGAGTGAAACGATCAGATTTCAAAAAGATTCCCTCCAGCAGCTGTGGGAGGAGTGAATGGGAGAAGGAAAGCAGTAATCCTGTAATCAGAACAGTTAAGGAGGTTGTCTAAATACCGAGGATCAGCAGTAGGGCAGAGGCTGCTGGGATCGGGGTGGTTATTTCTGAGAAATACTCGGATAGTTTTCAGTTCTTGGTATGGATCAGACGTGATCCGCCGTGGACGGCAACAGGACCCTGTTCTGGGCCTCGAGCTCAAGACGCGCAGGGCCCCCCCCCCCCCCCCCCCCCGATCCAGATTAACCGAGGAATTTGGATTTGGAGACCGTCGCGTTCAGCTCTCCGACCCCAACCGTCGGTGGCAAGGTAGGGGTATTCTTACCTTCCACGCCCTAGCCCGCCCACAACGAGAGAAAGTGCTGAGTCATTCTGGCGGGGCGCTTTCGATCGGGGCGGGGCTCAGACCAGATCCCCCTCCTCTCTCCACCTCCTGTACCCCCGGCCCCTCCGACTCTCGCGAGAGCCCTACAGGCTATAAAGGCAGCGCCTCCCGCGTGCTTCACGCGTCTTCTTCCTGACTGGCCTTTGTTGTATTTTGTCTCAGAGCTGGTAAGAAGTCCTCCCTTTTCTCCCCCTCTCCCGTTATCGCCTTTTCCTCATCCACCCCAGGACCTACCCTACTCAGTTTGGGTTGCTGTGACGGGGGAGGCTGCTGGGCGAGGTGTGGAGCGCTCGAGAGTGGTTAGTGGTACGTGTAAGTGGGCCCTGTTTAGAGATGGGGGGACCTGTTTAAACCCCGAAGCTAACGTCGGTTCGAGTTACCTCTTCCCTCGGCAACCCGAGCAGAGTGCGCTCATTGGCTTGGCATGGCGACGAGGCGGACTCGTAGTGGTGGGCTCTTCTCAGCCAGCCTCCTTCCGGGCGCGGCGGGTTCGGGAAGCTTCTAGAATGTACCTGGAAACTGACCTGAGGCTCGTTGTGTGGTAGTGGTAAAGGCTGGTTACTAGATGTGGAATTTCTGATATGAAGATTCCCTTCCCAGTTTCTATTTTTTCATTTATGGAATAGGGTTTGTGGTGGTCCCAAATGTCTCTGTGAAGACTGCGGGTTTTGGGATTTTTTTTGTTTTTTGGTGGTTTTTTTTTTTTTGCTGTTGCTTTCCGAAGTGTTACGTTGGGGGTGATGATGGGAGTGGCAGCAGGGCATCAGAAGAGGAGTGTGGCTTTTGCCCGTGAAGTTTTGGGGCGGATCCTCGGAGGAGGTCCACAAAGCGCTTGAGGTCCAACAGCCTTTTCCCCGCTGAGTTGGACTTTGGCGGACTTGGGGCCGCCTGGAAAAGCAGATTTGGACGAGAAGGTCCTTTACGTTAGGGTCACACCCTATATATTTATTTAGTCGCCAAATTGGAGCGTGCCTTACTAATTTTTTGTTATTAAAAGTTTTTTTTGTTAATGTTTATTTTTGAGAGAGAGACAGCGCGAGTGGGGGAGGGGCAGAGAGAGCGGGCGAGAGAGCCAGAATCTTAAACAGGCTTCAGGCTCTGAGCTGTCAGCAGAGTCCGAAGCGGGGCTTGAACTCCGGACCGGGGAGATCATGACCTTATCCAAAGCAGATCGGAAGCTTAACCGCCTGAGCCACCCAGGTGCCTCTTTTTTGTTAAGGGTGTTAAGGAGTAAAAAGTTTGCAGTGATTGGGGCACCTGGATGGCTCCGTAGGTTGAGCGTCCAACTTTGGCTCAGGTCATGATCTCCTGGTTCGTGGGTTCGAGCCCCTTATCGGGCTCAATGCCCCTCCGTCACTTATGCACTCTCTCAAAACTAAATGAACATTAAAAAAATTTTTTTTCAGTACTCGATGCTCTCAGCGGTTTTTTTTTTTTTTTTGGTTGTGGTACTATGCACCAAAAAACTTTGGGACTTGGAAAATTAGCTTTTTGTGGATTTCAATCTGATAGCTTACTAGGTTAGATTTTTTCTTATCTTTATGTTGACTTAGGTGAATCCACTGCAGCATTGGTTTTTTACTTTTTAATTTTTTTAATTCAAAATTTTTAATGTTTAATTCTGAGAGAGAGAGAGAGAGAGCGCGCGCGCGAGCGTGATCAGGGGAGGGTCAGAGAGAGGGACGGAATCTGAAACAGGCTTCAGGCTCTGGGCTGGCAGTCAGCACAGAGCCGGACACAGGGTTGGAACCCATGAACCGTGAGATCATGACCTGAGCCGAAGTCGGATGCTTACCCGACTGAGCCACCCAGGGACTGCTCAGCATTGCTTTTTTAGCAAGACTCTTGCTTCTCCTGGCCCCGAGGTCACAAACCCGTTTTTGAAAAGACTTCAAGTGCTTAAACACGACTCCTAAAGTTTCAGAATTTAGTAGATGCCAGAATCCTGTCCTTTCCTCTTAAAAAATTGAATTGGCTTTAGGATGTGTGCTCTCTTGGGCAAATACACCTGGAGAAAGGTCAAGTGTGCTTCCTGAATTATGAAGGTAGAAGAAGGTGCAGTCAAGGGAAAGGGGAGCAACATGACCACTTGTAGGAATCACTCTGTGGCATTGTTCTTTGGGCTCTGGTTCCGGGGGTGAACTTTCCTTAGTTTTTTCTGTATAATGAAAATACAGAAGAACATGGCCTTTGCACAAATCCTATTTCAGAAAAAGTAATAGAAGTTATTTCAGTTTATAAAAAAATTGCTGTATTGGGGCGCCCGGATGGCTTAGTCGGTTAAGCGTCCGACTTTCGCTTAGGTCATGATCTCGCGGTTCGTGGGTTCGAGCCCCGCATCAGGCTCTGTGCTGCCAGCTCAGAGCCTGGAGCCTATTTCAGAGTCTGTATCTCCCTCTCTCTCTGACCCTCCCCTGCTCACGCTGTCTCTCTCTCTCTCCTAGAAATTAAAAAAAAAAAAATTGCTGTATTTAAGTGAAAATGATATTCAGACCTGTATCTGGTTTTGTTTCAAAAGATGGAAAGTGCGGTTTATGCTCCTTACTAATGTAAAAGTTAATGTATATATTCAGGGCTACTGGACAAGTCTTTTTATCATTTTACAGTTAAGTTTCTAAGTAGATGAAGTGTGCTGGTTATCTAAAAAAAATGAGGTTTATTTCTAACTCATTTCCTCCCTTTCTTTTTCAGCTGATAGTAAGATGTCTTCAGGAAACGCCAAAATTGGGCATCCTGCCCCTAACTTCAAAGCCACGGCTGTTATGCCAGATGGCCAGTTCAAAGACATTAGTCTATCTGACTACAAAGGTAAGAGTAATTACTTTAGAGTCATTAAAATTGAATTATTTTAGGAGAGCCTGGGTGACTCAGGTTGAGCATCCTACTTCGGCTCAGGCCATGATCTCCTGGTTTAGGAGTTCAAGCCACACATTGGGCATTGTTGACAGCTCAGAGCATGGAGCCTGACTTGGATTTTGTGTCTCTCTCTCTCTCTCTCTACCCCTTCCCTGCCTATGCTCACTTGCTTTCAAAAAAAAAATAAACCATAAAGTTGAACAATTTTACAATCTAAGGTGGCTCATTAGGTTTCTGTATCTGTTCTGTTTGATTGTAAGATGATATATATTCTAGGTCACTGTCTTTAGGGTAGAAGGCTGTTTACCTCCATGTTGAAGTGAAGTAGTGATTATCAACCTTGATAACAGGGGTAGATATTTTAGGTTCAGACTGCTGTGGAAAAAATCCCATGCTTCATTATGTCTGGACAGATTAGCTCACTTACCTTCTCAGTACTCCATTGTATTGTCTTGGAGATCTTTTCAGTACTTCATTGAAAGCTCAAGTTTTGGAGCGTAAGCTGTTTGTTAAGTTTATGAAATGTGTATATCACAGCTGCTATATTATTAGGCAGAAGGCTTAGGTACATTCCCTTGACTGTTTTGCCCCAAGAGAAGAGTTGATAGTACAGTCGGAACAACTTTTCCTGTTACAGTTTCACACAAACACTTGGCAAGTTCTAATGAACTGTTTTTTTTGTTTTTTGTTTTTTAAAACCTTACAGTCCTGGAACAGTTGAACAGTTGGGTTTTCTGGGATAGTTGATGCAAATTCCTTGAACTGGAATTCTGAAACTCCGGTGTTAAGTGTGCCTTACTTAGTGGTGTAGTAATTAGTTCCTAAGACTCAGCTTTTGCTTGGAACATGTGACTAAAGGTTTCCTAACACAGTGCACTTGTTTGGAATGAGAAGCAAGTAAGAGGGGCCCTATAGAGGGAAGCTCCTCTGACAAACAGGATAAGTAGCACCATAGGGAGGTGACCCTGGCCCAAGGGTTTAGAAAGAGCTGCTCTCTGTCCTCCAGGGCTTGACCTGCTGAGGTTTCAAAGTGCTTGTTAGGCAAAGCCCTGGAGAGGTTGTTTAGATGAGTGAGTTTCTACTGATTTTGATCTTCAGAGTAAATGTCAAAAGGAGCAGCTTATTTTGACTTTCAGACCTTGTAGCTACCTGGAAACGAGTGAAGATTTGGAACTGTTTCAATAAGTCTGCCTATTAGGTGTGGTGAAAGGCTGCTTGGTCAGTTGAAGATCTGTCTACTTCTGTTGGTAATCTGAGTGACTTCAGTGAAATTTGCACTAGAGATCCTCTTACCTATCAGGACTTTTGGAACTTTTGCCTCAAGAAATTTTTCTTTTCCTATTAGGCTTGTTAGGAGCCTGATTCAGGTGATCATTTAAATCTTACCTGTCCCCTTGATGTGGTTCATCGTGGAAGAAAAACACAAAAGGCTTTGTTTTGTTGTGATTTGGTCTCTTTATTGCCTTGTAGCACAGAATCCGGTAGTTGAGCTTCTCCTGTGCATTAATTGTAAGCATTAGCATTTAGGCTATCTAGTAGGTAATTGCATCCTTGGTTTTGCTTTTCTTCATTGGACAACTTGGTGTTTGTGCTAAATTAAAAAAAATTTTTTTAATGTTTTTTTTTTTTTTTTTGAGAGACAAAGTGTGAGTTGGAGTGGAGAGAGGGAGACAGAATCTGAAAGAGGCTTCAGGTTCTGATCTATTAGCTCAGAGCCCAAAACGGGGCTTCAAGTTGGGAATGAGGAGATCATGACCTAGGCTGAAGTCCGGCACAACTGACTGAGCCAGCCAGTGGCCTGTGCTAATTTTAACTACCTGGAGATAAAAATCGGACTGAACAGTGTTTATTTTACAATTGGCAGCTAATGGGGAGGCAGGAAGATAAAGCATAGAACCGAAAGGAACTTTTTTTAATGGAGGATTTCCTGCTGCAAGATGTTCGAAAAGTAATTGCTAGGAGACATCTGTTGAGTGTTGGTAGTTAGCAGTTGTTTTCTATAAAAAGGCTTTTTTTCTCCACAGAAAAATGTCTTTAGATTTTTATTTTTTGAAAATATTTTGCTTTTTTATTTTGAGAGAAAGAGGGCACAAGTTAGGGGCAGAGAGAGGAAGAGAGAGGATCCCAGGAGGGGCAGGGAGAGAAAGAGGGCAGCGGGGCTCACCTGAAGTGGGGCTTGAACCTCCTGAACCTTGAGATCATGACCTGAGCCAGAGTCAGATGCTTAACAACTGAGCCACCCAGCTGGCCCAAGATTTTATGTTTAAGTAATGTCTGCACCCGGTATGGAGCTGGAACTCAAAACCCCCGAGATCGAGTCACACACACCACCCACTGAGGCAGCCAGGAGTCCTTTATAAAGCAAGGAAGTGCGTTTCAAAGGTAAACTTGTGACTTTTTCCTCCCTAGGAAAATATGTTGTGTTCTTCTTTTACCCTCTTGACTTCACCTTTGTATGTCCCACGGAGATCATTGCTTTCAGTGACAGAGCAGAAGAATTTAAGAAACTCAACTGCCAAGTGATTGGTGCTTCTGTGGATTCTCATTTCTGTCACCTGGCGTGGTAAAATTCTTGGTCAACTTTTGCATATGAACTTTGAAACTAAGCCGCAAATGGGATTGGAGGCTTTGGTAATAAATAGATTTGCTCAGTATTGCCTTTTGGCTTCTGATAGGAGTGCAAAGGCTGTAACTTCCTCTTGTTGCTCTTTTATTACGTGACAGCAAAGGAGAAGCAGTCTGGGTTGTAGCCGAGTGTACCCTGGTGATCTTAACTATCTTCAGGCACTCACTTTACTGCTGGAAAAAGTTTGAAATCTTTTGGGGATTAGATTAGATTACATTACTAATGTTGAAAAAGGGAAGGAATAGATACAGTTAATGCTTTTGCTATATGTGAATTTAAATGAATGTGCTTGTATGTGTGGCTTTTGCTGTAGGATCAATACACCCAAGAAACAAGGAGGACTGGGACCCATGAACATTCCCTTGGTATCAGACCCCAAGCGTACCATTGCTCAGGACTATGGAGTCTTAAAGGCTGATGAAGGCATTTCATTCAGGTATATACATACCAGGGGGTTTTCCTCAAAATTATCTGATTGACTTAAGGGCCTTTTTTATTTGGAGAAAGGTGGGGCCCTGATCTGTAGATTCCTTTCTTGTTGTTAACTGTTTCCCCTCCCCCAGTTAATTTGTTGAGAAACAATTGACCTGCATGACTAAGTTTATTTTTAGCTTTTTAAATTTTACTTATTTATATTTAAATTTTTAAATTTATTTTGAGAGAGCACACGAGTGAGGGAGGGAGGTGCAGAAAGAGGGAGGGAGGTGCAGAAAGAGGGAGGGAGGTGCAGAAAGAGGGAGGGAGGTGCAGAAAGAGGGAGAGAGAGGATCTCAAGCATGCTCAGTGTGTAGAGCCTGATGCGGTGCTTTGTTTCCTGAACAATGAGATCATGACCTGAGCTGACATCAAGAGTGGGATCCTTAACCAACTAAGCCACCTTGGCGCCCCTGTTTAGATTTTGTTTATTTATTTTAAATGTTTATTTTTTTGCGATAGAGACTGAACACGAGTGGGGTAGGGTCAGAGAGATAGGGAGATAATAGAATGCGAAGCAGGCTCTGGGCTCCAAGCTGTCCGCACAGAGCCTGACATGGGGTTTAAACCACAAACTGTGAGGGGCACCTGAGTGGCTCAGTCGATTAAGCGTCTGACTTCAGCTCAGGTCATGATCTCACAGCTCGTGGGTTCGAGTCCCATGTCGGGCTCTGTGCTGGCAGCCAGCTCAGAGCCTGGAGCCTGTTTCAGATTCTGTGTCTCCCTCTCTCTCTGACCCTCCCCTGTTCACGCTGTCTCTCTCTCTCAGAAATAAATNAACATAAAGACTAAATGATAGGAAATTTACATAATGAAATATGGCCATTAAAAATTAAGTTTCTGAGTAATATTTAATGATACTGGAAAATACTCATTACATCATGTTAGATTAAAAAACACATAGGGCGGGGCGCCTGGGTGGCTCAGTCGGTTAAGCGTCCGACCAGCTCAGATCATGATCTCACGGTTCATGGGTTCAAGCCCCACGTCGGGCTCTGTGCTGACCCCTAGCTCAGAGCCTGGAGCCTGTTTCAGATTCTGTGTCTCCCTCTCTCTCTGACCCTCCCCTGTTCACGCTGTCTCTCTCTCTCAGAAATAAATAAAACATTAAAAAAATTAAAAAAAAAAAAAAACAACACTGTGAGATCATGATCTGAGCTAAAGTCAGATGCTTAACTGACTGAGCCACCCGGGTACCCCTAGATTTTATTTTTAAGTAGTCTTTATGTTGAACGTGGGGCTCAAAACTCCCAGTTGAGATCAAGAGTCACAAGCTTCACCAATTGAGCCATCCAGGAGCCCCCATCACTATGTAAGTTTAAAGTGTATAGCATGATGATCTAATCTCCCTCCCTTTCTTTTCTCTCTCTCCCTTTTTCTCTGTCTGTCCTTGCTTCTTTCCTTCCTTATGTGTATACCTAACATGGGGCTCAAACCCATGACCCCAAGGTCAAGAGTCACTCTCTTCCAACTGAGCCAGCCAGGTGCCCCTCATTTTGTTTCACGGTGGGGTTGGAGGTGGGGGGTTCATTAGAGGCAAAGCCAGTGCAAGTCTGGGAGGCCAGCACATTTTCATTTCCATTGCATCTTTGTTCTAACAAAGCAGTTTCTAAACTGGTACTGCATCTGTCTCAGACCTTCAATCTCTTTTTCCCAGGGGCCTCTTTATCATTGATGATAAAGGTATCCTTCGACAGATCACCGTAAATGACCTTCCTGTCGGCCGTTCTGTTGATGAGACTCTGAGACTAGTTCAGGCCTTCCAGTTTACTGACAAGCATGGGGAAGGTAAGCCAATTCACCTGGTCACTTGACAATGGAAGGTGGTAGGATAGGAAAGATAGCAAGAACAAGGTCTACCAAATGAGAAAAATCTGTTTCTCCAAGGTATTGAAGTCTCTGCATTATACTGGATTGTGGGGGTGAGGTAATGGAAAAGCTTGGGGAGGAGAATAAAAAAAGGTTTTTGTTCCAGCTCCACATTCTAGCTTCTGCCCTGCTCATTTAGAGTCACTGCTGCAACCTTTAAGTTATTAAAGGAGTGCAGGAGGATTTCATAGGTATATAAGGGCAAAACAAAAGGCTTGAGAATTATATCTAGGGATAAAGCATGCCATTCTTGTTTATTAGGAGAGGAGCTTAATCCCTGTGGTCCATATTTGTTACATTTGTGTTTAAAAAAAAAAAAGATAAAGACCAGTTTTGAATTTTGGAAAAAAGAACAATGGACAAATAAGCTAATAACATTTCTGTCTTCTTAAAATACGTTCTAAAAAATAAATAATAAAACATTTTATTGTACAGTGTGGTTGTCCTGTCCAGAAGAATTAGAATCTGCAAATAAATTTTGTAAATGTTTATGTAAAATCTTTTAGGAAGAGGGGTTAGGGATAGAAGGTTTCAAATGAAATATCAAGGTTCTTCATTAGACGTATGAGGATAAAAGAATTTTTTTAATTAAATTTTTTTAGAGAGTGTGAGTGGGGGAGAGGGCAGAGGGGGAGAGAATGTGAAGCCGACTCCATGCTTAACTTCTTGCCTGTTGCAGGGCTCATTTCTATGATCCTGGGATCATGACCTAAACCAAAATCAAGAGTCAGACACTAAACTGACCTTACAGAGTCTAAACATCACTAAGATTCAATTTAGGGTTTTTACCTAGCATCTTACAGAGTATAGGCTTTTTTTCCCCTATTTCTCTAGCATTAGTACTTTTCTCCTTTTAAAAAAAATTTTTTTTTAATGTTTATTTCTGAGAGAGACAGTGTGAGCAGAGGAGGGTCAGAGAGAGGGAGACACAGAATCTGAAATATGCTCCAGGCTCTGAGCTGGCTGTTAGCACAGAGCCCGACACAGGGCTCAAATCCACGAACCGCGAGATCATGACCTGAGCCAAAGTCAGACGCTTAACCGACTGAGCCACCCAGGTGCCCCATCTCCTTTTTGATGAAGTACTGAACCACTTGATCACAGCTTTTGAGTTTGTAAGGCTGTAGCATTTTTTTAGTTTATTTTTGAGAGAGTGGGACGGAGAGAATGATAATCCCAAGGAGGCTCCATACTGTGTGCAGAGCCCGATGTAGGGCTCAAAACCACAGACTGTGACATGACCTGAGCCAAAGTCGGATGCTTAACCGACTGAGCCACTCAGGTGCCTCTAGGTGTTTTTTTTTTGTTCGTTTAAGTTTTACTTTTGAGAGCGAGCAGGAGAGCATGTGCACAAGCAGGAAGTGGTAAAGAGAGAGCCTGTTTGGGATTCTATATCAGGTTCTATGCTATCAGCACAGAGACTAATGCGGGCTCGATCTCAGACCTTGAGACTATGACCTGAGTTGAAATCAAGAGTGGGAAGCTTAACTAAGCCACCCAGGTGCCACGAGACTGTAGCTTTTTTACTTACTCCCCCTCACTGGGGTATAGTTGTTGCTGGAATGAAACAACCTTATCCTAAGAGTTAGTTTTTAAGGACTTAGCTCCTGAGGCTGCAAGTGCTGGGTATGTAGATCTTGAACCACACACCTTTCCAAGCTTAATGTAATTGAGGATGAGAAGGACAAGATAGTTTTTGTTTGTTTTTAAGTTTTTTTAATGTTTATTTTTGAGAAAGACCATGAGCAGGGGAGGGACAGAGTGAGAGGGAGAGACAGAATCCAAAGCAGGTTCCAGACCCCAAGCTATCAGCACAGAGCCAGACTTGGGGCTTGAACCCATGAACCTTGAGATCATGACCTGAGCCCCAAGTAGGCTGCTTAACCAACTGAGCCACCCAGGTGCCCTGATGACAAGATAGTTGTGATTAAGTGCTACTGATGTCAGATGAAGTGCAGAAGTGTACTTCAATAAATTTGTCTTAACAATATTCCATTTTCTTTCTCTAAATAATAGACTGTTTTCTAAGGCCCTTTTCAGCTCTGATCTTGTAATAAAACATGTGGAAGTTGTTAAAGAGTTGGAATTAGTGGTGTCTCTTAGACGTACCCAAAGGTGGTAGTTTGGGTGAGCACAGACCCTAAGGCACCATTTGCAGAAGCTTGTGTGGATTTGAAGGCTGCTGAGACTGCCTCCTGGTCGGGGATGAGATTTAGTACAAGGACAAGTAGTTGAGTGTGGCAAAGCTCTTTACTGGATTTCTTAGCACCTTGCATATAGGCAAGACTTGAACCCAAGCTTTCATAACTGAAGATTGCTTCTTCAGACTCTTGGACTCTTCTTCCCATTCCACTAGAGCAGGCACCACTTTCTGTGTGTAACCTTTATGATTTATAAGATACTTACCATTTGAGAGCCTGTGAATACCAAAAATATATGAGTACATTGTGTGTGTTATTTGGCATGTAACCCTACTTTTCTATTTTTTATTGAGATGTAATTGACCTGTAACAGTTTTAGGCATACAATGTAATTCAATTTTATTTGTATTTATATATCCCATATTCCTATTTTTTCAAGTTTTTATTTAAGTTCCAGTTAACATAGTATAACATTAGTTTCATCACTTATACAACACCCAGTGCTCTTCACAAGTACCCTCCTTCATACCCATCACCCATTTAACCCATATCCTACCCCCCTCTGACATTCCCTCCAATAACCCTATTTGTTTTCTATAGTTAAGAACCTACATTGTTATTTTATTTAATAAACCAATACTTAAACACAGTATTTATTCATAGTAAATATTGAAACTGGGATCCAAATTCACAGTTACCCTTTTTAGAAAAAATTTTTGTTATTAAAATGCTAAAAAAGTCCCTCTTGAGGGCTGTTTTGAAAGTTCTTATACTGAGGTTACCATGACTGTCATTTTCTCCTTGGAGATTGATGGTATTTTGAAAGCTGGTTTATGTGGGACTCAACCAGTTCCCCTGTACTCCATATTCTGAAAAAACCAACACTGCTGGGTATGAGTGAAACATGCAATTGTGGTTATTTCTGTCTTGTCACTGATAATGGTTATGTTCTTTTTCTTTTTTTAACCTTTTTTTAAACCTTTTTTTTTTTTTAATGTTTATTTTTGAGGGTGAGTGAGTGAGTAGGGGAGGACAGAGAGAGAGGGAGACACAGAATCTGAAGCAGGCTCCAGGCTCTGAGCTGTCCCCACAGCACCTGACCAGGGACTCAAACTTGTGAATGATGAGATATGACCTGAGCTGAAGTCAGACTCTCAACTGACTGAGCCACCCAGGTGCCCATTAACTGATACATTCTTAAGTGCCATGAGCCCTTACTGCCAATGAGAATAATTTGGCAAGGTTTTTCCTGGTTCATTATTCTTACCTTTGTGTCATGATTTATAATACTGGGCTGTTTTTTTTTTAATTATAAATTTTTTTTTTTTTTTAAATTTCTGAAGAGAGAGAGATCGCATGAGCAGGGGAGGGACAGAGAGAGAGGGAGATACAGTATCTGAAGCAGGCTCCAGGCTCTGAGCTGGCTGTCAGCACAGAGCCCAATGTGGGGCTCAAACCCGTGAACCGTGAGATCATGACCTGAGCCGAAGTCAGACACTTAACTGACTGAGCCACTCAGGTGCCCCAGGTTATGTTTTCTAAGACCCAAATTTTTTTGGTTCCCTGTCCACACCTGCTGTCAAACTTTTGGCTGGCTCTCACCTGGTCTTTGCTTATTTGCTACTCTTCTTTTTCTGTAGCTGTTTTATGCTTAGGGACTTGTATTTTCACCCTTTGGTGCTACTAAAGGTAATAACTATAACAATCAAGTGGAAATTTCAGGAAAGTAATGGGAGCTGGTCCATATATACTTTGTTCTAGCACCTAGTTGCTGAGTGACCTCTAAGGCTATGATATCCTTGGACTGAAAGGGGCTCCCCCTCTCTCACTTTGAGCATGTGAGACTTACTGCTTCATTACTGGACTTTGGTGACTACATGTCTCCTAGAAGATGGAATAGCAAATGGAAGTGAAAAATCCGAGATTGGTTCCCTTGCTTTTCTCCTCAGGTTAGCCCAAGGAGCATTGTTGGCTCAGAATTATAGGAAAAGGTTGAAAGCTATGCCTTCTGCATAAATGTATGAAAGATTCAAACTCAGACCTTTGTTTAGCATGGGGTAGAAGGCAGTTACTTAGTGAAACAAGTAGGGCCTTCAGTGGGGGTCCTGTCCCTTTGTATTTCAGGCTGTCCCGTTTGGCAGAGTTAAAGAACATTGAGGAGGCAAACTGGTTGCTATCTTCAGATCCTCCAAGGGCTATCAGAAGCAGTAGCTTAGTGTTAACTATTTTACACACTCCTAGCTTTGTTTACATTATTTAGCTTACTTATTTCTTGGTATGTGGACAAATCATGAATTAAAAATTTTTTTTTTTTTTTTTAAGAGCATGTAAGCTGGGGAGAGGGGCAGAAGAAGAGAGAATCTTAGGCTCCGCACTAAGCCCAACACAGGGCTCAATCCCATGACCCTGGGATCATGACCTTAGCCACAATAGTCAGATACGCAACCAAGACAGCCACAATAAAGAGTTATACTCAACCAAGACACCCATCTAAGTTTTTAGATTTTAAATGTAATACAGTGTGGCATGATTTGGTATTTTAAGTGTACAATTTAGGGGCATTAATTACATTCACAATGTTGTGTATCCATCACCAATGTTTTCTGAATGTTTTCATCATCCCAAATAGGTAGAATTAAGCAATAACTCCCCCCATTCCCCTTTCCTTCCAGCCCTTGGTAGCTTCTGCTTTCTGTGTCTATGAGTTTGCCTATTCTAGATATTTCATGTAAGTGAAATGATATTTGTCCATTTATGTTTGGTTTCTTTCACTTAGCATAATGTGTTTGAAGTTCTCAAGGTTCGTGTTGCAGTGGGTATTAAAATGTCATTCTTTGTTAAGGCTGAATAATACTACATTTTATGTATATATCATACTGTGTATTCATCTCTTGATGGACACAGGGTTTTTAACTTTTGGCCATTGTGAATAATACTGCTAATAATAGTGAACAGGTGTCTGGATCTTTGTTCCCATTTATTTTGAGTATTTACATTAGAAGTGTAATTGCTGGGTCATGTAGTTCTGTTTAGCTTTTTCAGGAACTGCCAAACTTTTACAGCAGCTGCACCATTTTACATTCCCACCAGCAATATCAAGCATTCTTTACAACCTTGCAAATGTTTAGTCTTTAATCTTTTTTTTCTTTTTCTTTTTCAATACTGTATAGCCTTGTGAGTGAAGGGGTGTCACTGTGCTTTTGATTTGCTTGTCCCTAATTAGTGATATCAACCATATTTTCATGTGCTTATTGACCATTTGTGAATCTTTGGAGAAATGTCTGCTCAAGTCCTTTGTCCATTTTGAACTGGGTTGTCTTTTATTGAGTTGTGGGAGTTCTTTTTTAAGTTTATCTTGAGAGAGACCCAGTGAGTCGGGGAGGGACAGAGAGAGAGGAAGAAAAATAATTGCAAGTAGGTTCCTTACTGTCAGCACAAGCCTGACATGGGTCTCAAACTCAGGAACCATGAGATCATGACCTGAGCTGAAACAGAGTCAGATGCTTAACTGACTGAGTCACCCAGGTGAGTTGACTGGGTGTCTTGAGTTGTGGTAATTCTGTCTACGTTTTGGATGTTAATCCCTCTTCAGATACATGATGGGTAAATATTTTTTTCTCATTCTATATGTTAATTCTTAAAAATGTCCTTTTTGGGGCGCCTGTGTGGCTTTAGTCGGTTAAGCATCTGACTCTCGATTTTGGCTCAGGTCACGATCTTATGGTTTGGGAGTCCCAGGCTCACATAAAGCTTTGTGCTGACACCACAGAGCCTATTTGGGATTCTGTCTCTCTGCTCCTCCCTGCGTTTGCTTGTTCTCTCTCAGAATAAATGAAAATAAACTAAAAAAAAAATGTCCTTCGTACAAAAGTTCTTAATTTGAATTAAGTCCCATTTATCTGTTTGTTGTTGCATGTGCTTTTATAATCCTATCTAAGAATACATTTCCAAGTCCAAGGTCGTGAAGTTCTGTTTTCTTCAGAGTTTGATTTTAGCCCTTACCTTTAAGTTGATCCATTGTTGAGTTGATTTTTTTTTTTTTTTAATGTAGTGTAAAGCACGGATTCACCTTCATTCTTCTGCATGTGGAAGTGTAGCTGGTCCCAGCACCATTTACTGAAGAGCATTTAAGATTTTTAAAAAGGGACGCCTGGGTGGCTCAGTTGGTTAAGTGTCCAACTTTGGCTCAGGTCATGATCTCAGTTTGTGAGTTCAAACCCCATGTCAGGCTCTGTGCAGACAGCTCACAGCCTGGAGCCTGCTTGGATTCTGTGTCTCCCTCTCTATCTGCTCATGCCCTGTCTGAAAAATAAAACATTAAAAACAAATATCTTTAAACATATGTAATGAGGCATACATAAAATAATTTAGGAAATACAAATACCAATTAATCCAATCCCTGCTGTTAACAAATCTTTTTTTTCCCCCATATGTGCTCTAGGCAGATTATTTCTAGACCAAAGCATTCAATTGAAAATTTCTTTAAATTACAAGTGCTGCATGAATAAGTTAGGTATCATAGCAGTAGGACTGTCGTGAGGATTAAATTATAATTGTAATTAGCCTTGTACTAAAAGGCTTGAATGATCTCAGATGGTAGCATAGCATCCTGGTTCCTGAGTGTTCAGCCTCTTAAGGTACCAGATTTGGTTTTGAGCCATTTTGTCCATGGGAGTAGGGTGGAACTCAACCACTGAGCAGGTTATTAATTGATAGTACTTTTCTCTTGGCAGTGTGCCCAGCTGGTTGGAAGCCTGGCAGTGATACCATCAAGCCTGATGTCCAGAAGAGCAAAGAATATTTCTCTAAGCAGAAGTGAGCTCTGGGCCATTTTAGGGCCAGGCTGCATTGGGTGGCCATGAAAACAGAATCTCTTTTGTACTATTGTCATGCGTAAAACACAAGACTTTAGATCAGGGCAGATGTGGTATGGGACAGGACAGGCCTTTCCTGCGGGGGTTGGGGAGACCAGCCTTTCTTCCTCTGAAGAGATTGTGGTATGGAGCAAGCCAACTGATGTGTACAGCAGTGGGGCATCACTTTTGATCTTTGTTGTTTCTATTAAACTTGAGCTGAGACCTTGTTGTGTCTTCATTTTAAGGGGCATTAGCTTTGATTTTTAGAGGAATTAACTCTGCTTTCCCTTTATAGGGTCAAATGAGGGTGATAGCTGCCTCAGAAACAGAAAGTTATATTGGGTAGGGGGATTGCAAGTAGACACAGGAAAGGAACTGAACCAAGGTGTTAACATTTTCACTACGTTTGGGGGAGAAGAGCAAGACCTGCTGCAGTGTTGGTCAAAGCACTGCAGTTTGTCCTATAGGTGAAGCATAAGTTGCAGGTTGCAGATGGAGGCCCCAATGAGATTACTTGGACATTTACCTTTATACCTATTGGGAGGGTTGCATGAGGACTTGAAGCTTGGCTTTAAACTAAATGCCTGGTACTGGCTCTGTAAAAGATCAGAATGAGTTTGGTGTATTGTGTACTCTTCCAGACATAAAGCTAGTCCAGTCTATCCCCATGCTTCCAAGCAAGATCTAAGAGCCTAAGTACAGAGTTCCTAGGGCTTTCAATGACAGCTCACGCACCCATTAGTATAATAAGGCAGGTATTGTTTCAGAAATGCCTTGCGTGTGTTTATTCATTCCTCACAACAAGCCTGAGGCAGGTGCCATTAGGGGATGATTGCCCTTTAGGCACTGTAATAAGTAGGATCTTGGAGCACTACAGAGAAACGAGTAATCACAATCTAAGCCAGGTGGGAATTCTGGATCTTTGACTTACTGTTTTGACTAAATTGCTCTAGGCTGTTATCTTCATTGAAGATCTCTATTACAGTCCTTTCATTAAAAATATTGTACCCAGGCACCTGGGTGGCTCATTCGGTTAAGCATCCAACTCTTGATCTCAGCTCAGGTCTTGATCTCAGCATCGTGAGATCCAGCCCATGTTGGGTTCCACGGTGGGCATGAAGCCTGATTAAACAAAAATACTGTACCCAAAATAAAATGCCTTGCCAAAGCCAAAGGTGTCCTAGAGCAAGTACCACTTATAAATAGGGATCCCAGGGGAGGGAGGCTGTCAAGGGCCAGGGGATTCAGGTGGTGAGACTTTGGGGCTGAGCCAGCCTCGGGCTCTGCTGGGATTCTGGGGCTGCTTTGGTGGGATTGCGGTAAAAGGAAGCTCAGAAGATGCAGAGCTAGGATCCTCTGAGGGCTGGGCCAAGCCCAACAAAGCTAAGCGTTGGGCAGGTGGAGTAGAAAAGTAGGCTTTCTGTTCTTCTGAGTAGCGCTCCTGTGGTGTCACAGCATCCCGGTATGTCCAGTCACGCCAATGGAAATTAAAGCCTTCAAGCAGGGTGATTCGGTCAGCTCTTGTAGGTACACAGTCCAGGGGCTTTATGGGTGGCAGATCTGGAACCTCTATTCCTGGCAGCAGCATTACTCCTCGAATGGCAAACCAGCCTCCGTACTGCGGGTGTATACACACACCTGATATGTGCTGAGGAGAAGGTAAAAAAGGTTATGGAGGTCATGTTGGCACTAAGTCCAACTATCCTCACAGCAAACTAGGCTTGTTCATTTATTCTCAAGGGACACTAATTTCACATTTGATCTTCTCACTCCGGTGGCTGGGTCCCCTATTTCCTCTCCTGGACAACCCTTTTCATGAACGAACTTTGGCCATGAGAAACTAAGGGTTCCTTAAGTTGAGTCTGTCAACTTGCCAGTCTCACTATTAGTTTCCTGATCACTGCTCTGCCCCCTCCATCCCGTAACCAGGTTTTACGAACAGACTAAGTTCTCTGACCTGATGTGTTCCCAGGCCAACTCCAGAAAGCATGTGGAGTTGGGCTCCTGAGTAGGGTATATATATACCTTTCCCTTGGATACTGTCTACCAAGGTAGGTGGAAGAATGTGAACTGGTATCTTGAGGAGCCTTTACCATTTTCTCCCAGTCCTTACTCATTCACACTTGCCCTCTGACCTGGTTTCCCCAGGGGTCAGCCTCCACATCCTTCCGTTGGTAGTAGTAAGCAGCCCCTGCCACGTGGGCTGCAGTCTGGGCCAGAATCTTGGGGCGCCGATTGGGGTGTACCTCATAGTCAGCAATGACTTCCATTTGCAACTCTGGGAGGTTCTGAGATAAGAGATGGAAATTCATTTCAGCATGAGAGGAATCAGGACTTTGTCCTAGAGAGCCCTAATTTGTGTTAGCTTGGTCCTGTCCTCAGAAGTTGTTTAAAGGGAAAACAAACCTTAAACTTGAGGGGTGGGGAGCTCCACTGTGAAGAAAGTGATCTTCTGTCCAGGAAGGCCCATGTTCGAAAGGAAATAACAAGGTCTGCTCACAAATGCCTATTGAGAGGTGACTTGTCTCTGCCCTCCAGAGTCTCAGTGTGGAGGAAGACATGACCTAGCTTTGGGGAGACCCAATATATGTATGTGTACATGTGTGCAGGGGGAATATTCTATCCTCAAAAGCCTCAAAGACAGCACAAAATGTTCAGGTCTAGGGCAAAGACAGGCAAGAGATGCTTAGGGGATGCTAGGCTTATTCCTATTTCACTTGGAGGCCAAGGGAAATCTGGTTTGAGGTTCATATTATTAACTGCCCATCAGAGTAGGGTGAGTGAGTTTGATTCTAGACCTGGGGGGCTGCTAGAAGGTGGCTGAAACTGGGCTAAGAAGGCAGAATGGGAAGAGATCACAGTGTTAAAGGCAGCTCTAGCATAGCCCATCTGGGAAATGGCTCATAGCCCTAAGTAGGTCTAGATCCTGCACTGAGCTTAGAGGAGCTGGAAGCAGCTACTACAGGTTTGAAACCTGAGGTAATGTGTGAACTTTGCTTACCTTTCTAACACGGCTCAAATGATAGGCCACACACTGGTCCACAGGGTCAGTCAGTGGTCGGAGATGGCAGCTTTGCAGGAAGGGTTTCAGGGCGCGGTCAAACATGGCAGGTGTGCTGAGTACCAGGAAGGCCAGGGTAGGTCCTGGCAGAGGTAGGTGGAAGGCTGGAGGCAGGAGTGCATTATACCATGCCACCTGGGACAGAGAGACAATTAAGGCCACACATGAGGGCCAATTTAGGCCTTTGCTAGGTGCATACTTTAGCCTGGCATTCAAGGTCTCCTACATCTTGGCCTCAGTATCCATCTCATTCATTCAGTGAATGGATTTCTACTGATGCTGCATGATGTATATTTATGGGGGACTCCTCCATAGGGGATTCTGACTGGGAAGTTTGGGATAAAAAGCCAGAGAATTCACAACTAAGAACCAAAAGAAATTGTACTGTGATTAGAGCAATGACAGGGCCAGATGAGGATCCTGTGAAATTAGGAAAGTCTTCTTGGAAGCTGTGACAAAACGATGTAGGGAGGGGAAATCTGGTGTTTATTCTACTAAAAAATTTTTTTCAATGTTTTTATTTATTTCTGAGAGAGAGAGAGAGAGAGAGAGAGACAGTGTGAGCAGGGGAGGGTCAGAGAGAGAGGGAGATACAGAATCTGAAGTAGACTCCAGGCTCTGAGCTAGCTGTCAGCACAGAGCCCAATACGGGGCTCAAACCCACGAACCATGAGATCATGACCTGAGCCAAAGTCGGACGCTTAACCGATTGAGCCCCACCCAGGTGCCCCATCTGGTGTTTATTCTAAATAAAGGTCACAGCTTTAAAAAGACATGTAAAAAGGGCATATTTGGAAAACAGCAAATTGTCTAGTTTGATAGAAGTGAAGGGTCCGTAAAGGGGAGCAGGAGAGAAGGGTGGAGAGATCAGTAGGTATGAGATTATGACTGTTCTAGATACCAATTTAAGGACTATACGTCTAATTTGGTGACAGTGAGGGTCTAGACATTGAAAATTTAAGGAGGAAACGGACATCAGTTTTAGAAAGATCTGGCTGCAGGGTGAGGATGGATTGAATGCAAAATGATAGCAAGCAGATTATTGCAATAATCCAAGCATAGAGGGGTTGGATGGAAGGAAATGGATTTGGGAGATTCAGGTGAGAGATTCCTAAAGGTCTTGGTGTCTGACTGGATGTGGGGTAGGGAAAGGGTGAGAAGCAGAAGCCTCGGATGACTGGCTCTGTTCAGTACAATAACTCTTACTACCCACTCAGTTCTACTTGACCCATCAAACATTCTCACTTTCTCCATACCTGCCATCCAACACTATCTCCTCCCCTTTACTTAAGCTGTTCCTGATATTTGGGATGTATATAATACTCTTTCCTTCTTTTCATATATAGCTCAACTCTTTTTTTTTTTTTTTTTCTGGGAAGTCCTTCTCAAGCTAGACCCAACCTACTTTCACTGTATTCTTTCCCAGCACTGCTGTGTGCCACTCAGTGGAAGGGGTGGGAGTGGGTTGTCTCTTAAGCATCAGGCAAAGGGCTCAAGCTGAGTTGATTTAGCTTTGTGTCCAAGCACACAGCTCAGTACAGAGGGCACTGGATTATGGGGGTTGGATCTATGTAAACAAGGGTCGATAGTGGTGCCAGACTTCTGTGACAGGCAAGTGCATGGTTTCTGTACCCAGCCCAGCACTGGTGATTGGCAACATCGTGAATTAGCCTTCTGTTGGTAGAGGGAACAAACCAGCCAATTGTCTGCTTGTTCAACAACAGGAATGCCTTTCCCCCTCAGATAACCTAAATCTTAGCTACACAAACCTACCAGGCCTTGCCCTCTCCTAACTTCTTAAGGAAGCTTCTTTTTTTTTAATGTTTATTTTTATTTATTTATTTAATTTATTTATTTCTAGGAGAGAGAGAGAGAGAGACAGCGTGAGCAGGGGAGGGTCAGAGAGCGAGGGAGTCACAGACTGAAACAGGCTCCAGGCTCTGAGCTGGCAGTCAGCACAGAGCCCGACGCGGGGCTCGAACCCACGAACCGCGAGATCATGACCCAAGCGAAAGTCGGACGCTTAACCGACTAAGCCACCCAGGCGCCCCTTAATGTTTATTTTTAAAAGAGAGAGAGAGAGATTGTGAGCTGGGGAGGGTCAGAGAGAGAGAGAGAGAGAGGGAAACACAGAATCCGAAGCAGTTTCCAGGCTGTCAGCACACTGCTCAAGGCGGGGCTCAAACTCACAAACCAAGGCTCAACGGACTGAACCACCCAGGCACCTCTCCTGAATTCAGGACGCTTCTAAAGTGACTCTGACCCTACTGGTCACTTTCTTCCTGTAAATTTTGGAGGTGGCAGAACCACAAGATTACTGAGTTACGTGGTGTCTCTCATTCATCAATATGGCATTATATGGGGTTAAAAGGACAAACGTGCGGCCGTTTCTCTACCTTTTTAATTAAGTCCCCGTTTGTCAGATGGACATGGGGCCAGAGGAGCTCGGGAAAGATCAGAAGGCTCTCCATCTTCACGCCAATCGCACCGAGGCCAATCATACACCTCGCCCCAACACCGCAGAAAGGACGAACCAACCTGGAAAGGGTAAACCTCGAAGCCAAAAGGGCACAATGTGTCCTCGATCTTCTGCTTCAGTTCTGCGACTTGCGGCTCCATAGCGCACGCTAGGCGCAGAGCTTGTTGGGGACTGGAGTCTCTAGGATAACCTGGGCCGTTAAGTTTCAAGGTAGCTTGGACTTCATTTCCCAAGAACCTTCGGGATCAGCAGCGGGACAGGGTTGGCTCTGTGCAATGGATCTTGGGATATGTAGTGCTTTGGTTTTCGGGTTCAACAACTACAGAATCAGAAAGCCTCGGTTTCCCGGCAAGCTTCACGGTGACGGTGTGAATGCTCGTGCGGCTACTAGGGAAACGTAGTTCCACAGCCTCCATCGTCGGTTGTCTCCGCGAGAGAAGAACTCAGTTTCCCAAGTGGCGCTGCGGCAGCCAGTCCGAGGTCAGATGGACTCGGCCGGCCTTCAGGAGGGTTTGAAAGGGGCCGCGGCACTAGTCGCTGGTACAGGTTCCGAGTGATGATACCTGTGTCTTGGGTCTGGGGAGGTTTCGACCAAGATTGGGCACTCTCAATTCCCACTTGATATCTGAGTATCAGAGTATCCCGCGTTCCCCCTAGATTCTCCAAACGCCGCTCCCCTGACCAGTTCCAGTTTGGCTTGATACTCCATCCCTACCTTTACTATTACATCCCCACTCCCCACTTTCGATCTGAAGTGTGGCTTTACTGGGCTGTGCCTCTGTTGTCCTGGGCTTGGAGAGCAAAGGCACAAGACGTCAGGGAGCCTTGGGGAAGGTTATGAGTAGGAGTCTGAGCTGGACTGAGCATCTCGACGGGCTTCTCAATGCTACGGATGGAAATGTGGCCAGGATTAAGGTGAGGGGCCGCCTGAGGGCCCCCGTTGGAGGTTTGGGTTTAGGGACACTCAGAGCTTATTGGCCTGTGAACTTGTTTTTGTTGTTGTTGTTGTTGTTGTTGTTTGGTGTTTTTTTGTTTGTTTTGTAGCAGCGGCTGTATCCTCTTGGAGTCTCCACAGCTGGTAAGTATTGTCCCTTTTCTGCCCCCAGTCTTCTTTTTCAAGGATCTGCTTTTTTTTTTTTTCCCCAGTGCCTGTACTACCTACTTTTCCAAATTCCAACTGTTTTCTATCCTGAACAAACATCTGTTTTCCCCCCAAAGATAGGCCTCACAGTTGTGCCTTGCTTACTCCCTCAGCAGGAGATTTGGCTGGGACCTGGATTTCCCCTCATCACTTGCCTCCCCAGTCTGGAGTCCAAGCTCAACAACGTTGGGCTCTAGAGGCTCCCTGTCACCCAGAGAGGCTGAGTTGTAGTAAGGCCCATGGCACATCTTTTTTCTGGGATGAAATCACTATTCTCCAATCCCAGCTTCAATACCAGGCTCAGGTAAAGTGTGCAGTCCTAGGTGTATATGTGTTGTGTTTGTGTGAAATGAGGATACCAGGGGTTGGGGATGCCCCTTCCGTGGTAGCTCATGTGGTTTTTCTTGCCTGGGTAGATGACTGAGACACTAAGGCAGGCTGTGCAGGGGCTGCTGGAAGAGCAAGAGCAGCAGAAGTACAAGATCTGTGCTCTGGAAGGTATCTGGCCAGTTCTTTTTTTCATGCACACAGCTCATTATGTATCCACATGATTTTGTTACATACCTTCTGTGTGTGCAGTTGTGTCTTGATTTACAAGTGGAGTCTCTAGGCTCATGTGTAGGTCTCATAAGGAATGACCCTCAGTTTGTCCCACTACAGCATCACTAAGGTTGCTGCAGGGGGGCCCAGAGCAGAGGGTCCTTCTCCTGGAGCAACGCCTGGAGGCGCTGAGAAGGGAACTGCAGGGCCTTCGAAGCCAAGTGCAGGAACAGGCCCAAGCCCAAACACAAACAGGACCACGAAAGTGCAGTGCTACTGGTGGCCTTCACCAAGAGCTGCAGAATGAGTAAGTAATGGGCAAGACCTCTCCTTCTTCGCACTTCTGAATTCCTGGTACTCTGGTAGTGTCCTCAGGGCTTGTTGATTGGTTTTAGAATGACACTACCTCCATCTGTCCAGGCGTCAGCTCCTGTGGGAGGAATCAGAGATCCTTCGGGAAGAATTGAAGTTGCTGCGGGACCAGCTGAGTGAGTAAAAGATTGGGGGTGGGTGTGAGTTCACCTGTCCCCTTTCCTGGAAAGCCTTTTTGCTATCCCAGTAAGTGGCCATAGCTCTGATTTCTTGAGCTGCTCAGAAGTCTGGCCAAGTGTTTTGTCTTGCCTCCATGGTGTGAGTATAGACTCCCCAGTTAGCTTGGAAGCTTCCCAACAGCTAGACCAGAATGCTTCTGTCTCAGTTTTCAGCACCAGGCTGGGCACAAGGCAGGGAGGGGAAGAGAAAGAAATTGGAGAACAGCTCTCTTACATTTTTCTCTCATTGAAGGCCAGCACCAGGAGCTGCTGCTGAAACAGATGGCTGAAGGGCAGCAAGCTCAGGTCCACAGCTGGAAGGTAGGACCAGGATCAGACCTATCTCTTCATATCTCCCTATGGAGGCTCCTTCCTTTCTGTCTTTTCTGTTGTGCAGGCAAGCCAGGATACACTCTCCCACTCTTATCTCTTTCTCTCTTTCCTGTACTGACTCTACCTCCCTCCAAAGCTTTTCTTCCCAAGCCCTCTTCTCCAGGTTGAGAGACTGTCATTGCCCACATGAGGGTTCCATGCCAATGGTGAAGATGCCAATGGTGGGGAGGGGGATTCCTCCTGAGAAGGAGAGGAATGGTCCTACCTGGTCCTACCTGGGCCTGTGGTCTGGCATTTGTTGGAGCAGCTGCAAAGTGGCCGTGAGGGCAAGGGTCACACCCTGGAGGCTGCCAGGACAGAGGCCCAGGATGCCTGGCAGGAGTACAATCTCTAAGGTCAGGGGGTATGGATACTTGTGGCAGTGGAAGGGATTTGTCTCAGAGGCCAGGCATTGGGGACCAGAGTTCAGCTATCTTAGATTTGACATGGGCTGGTAGGAGTGGTATGAGTATCTGCCTGTAAAGGCAGTACTGGGCATTCTTTACTTGATACTGAGTCACTGAGGTATCTTTATATGTTTGAAGGATAAAGGGAGAAGAGACTGGGGTCCTGGCCTCATGAAGGAGAACAGTTCTTTGGTGGGAGGGTCATCTTGTCAGCATCTCTGCCTCTAATTCTCTTCCCCTTTCCAGGACCTCTGTTCACATCCTTGAATCTAAGCTGCCCTGGCTGCCACTTTCACCATCTCTTCCTTTCTTTTTTTTTTTTTTTAAATATTTTTATTTATTTCTAGGAGACAGAGAGAGAGACAGCATGAGCAAGGGTGAGAGAGGGAGATACAGACTTTGAAATAGGCTCCAGGCCCTGAGCTGGCAGTCAGCACAGAGCCCGACGCGGGGCTTGAACCCACGAACCGCGAGATCATGACCTAAGCGAAAGTTGGACGCTCAACCGACTAAGCCACTCAGGCGCCCCACTTCCTTTCTTTTTTTTAAAATGTTTTTTAATAGTTTATTTATTTTTGAGACAGAGAGAGACAGAGCATGAGTGGGGGGGTGGGGCAGAGAGAGAGAGGGAGACACAGAATCCGAAATAGGCTTCAGGCTCTGAGCTGTCAGCACAGAGCCTGATGCGGGGCTCAAACCCACGAACTATGAGATATGACCTGACCTGATCTGATCTGAGCTGAAGTCTGACAATTAATCGACTGAGCCATGCAGGGGCCCCTTCATCATCTCTTTCTTCATCTAGCTCTGAAGTCAGTCTTCTTCTGGACAGCAACAGTAGCTGGGAACTTCTAAGGAAACTAGGTGGCGGTAAGGGCAGGGATCCCAGGTCTGGGGGAGGGTGAATCTGAATGGTGCTTGTGTGTCAGCTACCTGATTATTTGGCACTGGGTAGAATGGAGTCTCTGCCTCTTTTTTTGGTGAATCCATCATTCTCTGTTATTATTTATCCCAGGTCAGGCTTGTTTGTTCCTCCCCATCAGACCGGCCAAGGGTCTAGTTTCATGTGTATCATAGTGCTTGCTGATGGTTTGTTTTCTTTTCCCTTTCTCTCCCCTCAGATCTCCAGAAGAGCATACTTTCTGACCTAGAGCCCAGAAGCTTTCAGCTTTAGGGCCAGAGCCTTGAGCAGGAGAACCTATTCTTTAAGAGCCCCACAATGTTCCTGAGTGACCTGTAAGGACTTGTAAGAGTAGCTTTGCTCACCTTCCTCACCAAGGCCCTGTTTCTGGGTCCCTTCCCCCTTTTCTCTTGATCTTGCTGGTATCTGCCCTCCTTACTGAGGCTCATCACTGCCTGCCCACCAATTGCAATAAATGTTTTAACTCTTCCTGATGTCTTCTGTGAATCAGCCCCCACATGGGATTGACTCAAGTGTACGTTTTCTTCCTCCTGTTACTTGACTGCTTTCTGCCATCCCTGTCTCTGCAATCCAAGTTCATAGACATTTATAGCTGTACCTTCTGAGTGCAAGCCCTGTGCTCAGTGGAATTTGGAAGGAAATAGGAGTTCCCATCCTGGTGGGTAGAATGAGGTAGGACAGTGTTCTGAGGCAGTATTGGTGTGGGGATGCAGAGGAGGGCAAGGCATTTAGATAGACCCTAGACCTGAGCAATAGGAGGCTTCCCCTCTTCCCCTCCAGCTTCTACTTCTTAAGGCTTACTCTGGTCCCTTCACATTTCCTCATCCTTAGTAGCCTAGCCCTGCTTGCATTTCTGCAACAGTCCCCTGGTCTCTTTCTTTCAGTCTCTACCTCTAATCCAGTGGCTTTAGAATTTGTTGACTGTAACCTTTAGCAAGAAATATGGTTTACTTTGTGGCCTAGTAAATACACTTGTATATATTTATTAAATGAAACAAATTTCATGATTTAATATTTATTGAATCACTAGGGGTGATGTACTCTGATATTTCTTGTTATATTAAAAAAAAAATGCCTTGTGGTTATTAGTTCTAATCCTTCCATCACAAGGTTGCTCTCTGGAAAGTAGATCTTCCTTTGTAGACTAAGGGCAGCTTTACTGGTTTCTTACTTAAATTTTGTATTCTAGACCATGCAGTCTAAGATTTCCTTAGAAGCAGCAGCGTCCCGCTAATGTCTCATGAGGTCTCATCCACTGCTAAATATAGACAAAAGATAATGCCATTTATCCACGCAGTTGATGTTTATTGAGCATAATACAGACCAGCCCTGGCATGTATTTGCCCTGAGCTAAGATGTGCAGTGGGCTCATAAGGTTCCCAGCTCTTAGCTCCATCTAGCTAGGAAGAGGAGACAATTCTGAAAAAGAAGCATAATAAAAGGCTGAGATGAGTAGAGCAGGTTATATGGTGTATTCAGGGTCCTGGCCTAACTAGCAGACAGATCATGAAGAGTGGCCTTTGACACTCAAATATCTATAAGGCAATCCTTGGTTCTTTCTCCTCAGTGTAAAGGAAATTGCTGACAGTGGAATGGGAGAGATTAGACTTGGGTCAAACAGAACTTGTTCAAAAACCTAAAAACTTGCCATCAAGGCTCATCGTCCTACTGAAGGTACAACCACTGTCTTTTACATCTTTCATTGGGCAAGTGATACATATGGTATGATGGCATTATTCAATTCTACTTGCTACCAATGCTTGTGCCTATTTATCAAATACTTTGCATCAGGCTTTGTGGGAGTCAGGTTTAAAAGGTAAGTGCCAGGGCTCTAACAACAGAAAAATTAAATAGCAGTGGGGAACAATGGTATTTGAACTGTCACCAGGTGGCAGCACATCATGTGTTGTCAGAAGAATGATACAGAAAAGTCTTTGGGCCAAGGTTCCTGGGCTGGGTGATTTCTTTTCTCCTTTTGGACATACTGTGAACTACCTATTAATCTAACTAAAACAGCGTCCTGTTGAGGCTAATCTGCTCAAGAACCTTTGAAAACTTTCACAGCATAAAAAAGGACAAATTTGGCATTTAAGCTCAATTCACATTTAACCTCCATTCTTATCTCCTATCACACATCTTTCTTTTAAAAGCTTTTTTATTTAAATGTAGTTGACACACAGTGTTACATTAGTTTCAGGTGTACAACATAGTGATTGGACACATTCATACATTATGGTATGCTCACAAGTGTAGCTATCATCTGTCACCATATAATACTATCTTCGACTGTATTCCTTGTTCTGTACCTTATTTTTGTGACTTATTCATTCCAAAACTGAAAGCCTGTATCTCCCACTCTGCTTCACTCATTTTGTTCCCTGTCCTTTCCAGCAAGCATCAGTTTGTTCTCTGTTTATAGGCCTGATTCTCTTTTTTGTTTGTTTATTCATTTGTTGTTTTTTAGATTCCACATATGAGTGAAATCATACACACATCTTTCTTAAATTTTATTGCCACTAGGAATGCACAACATCTATACGCCAACTGTTCAAATCCCACTTATCTGTCAAGACTCTTTCAGTAGGAGGCAAGTCTAAAGATGTCTAAATGGAGGTCTCTAGTCCAAGGGAATACTGGTGAAGGAAGGCCCATACTCTGGTGTTTCTTTGCCTGCTCTAGCCCTGGAAATCCTGTCCAATCTGCTCAGGTATGAGATTATGAGCACCTGAAGTCCAGGCATATGGAAAGCATGAGGAAGGGAATATGTGCATGGTGAACAATTGAATAGAATTCTTTTTTTTTTAAGAGTTTATTGTCAAGTTGGTTTCCATATAACACCCAGTGCTCATCCCCACAAGTGCCCTCCTCCATGCCCATCACCCCCCTTCCCCTCTCCCCCATACCCATCAGTCCTCAGTTTGTTCTCAACATTCAAGAGTTTCTCATGGTTTGCCTCCTTCCCTCTCCCCCCTATTTCCCCCCTTCTTCTCCCCCACGGTCCTTGAATAGAATTCTTATTCCCTACCCAGGTCTTTCAATATCTTCAGTTTTCAAGCCATCTCAAATGTTCTCTCTTCCAACTAGAATTGAATCTTGGTGTAGATGAATTATTGCTTCAGCATTTTAACCCAACTCATTGCTCTTACTATATAAAGTAGGTAGTAATAGTTTATATATCAGTTTTTTCCCCCACAGTATACCGAGATCCTGCAGAACTCTATGTTCATATGCCTTTTTCTTCCCTCACCAACCGCAAAGCCGCGCCAGGGGAACCCATTTTCTGTTAGTTTTATTAATTACCAGTCGTTTCTATGTTTGGCATTTTAATTGTTCCCTCTAGTGTTTACTGTCCCGCCCTCTGGAGGTTCCAGGGACTTGATTTCCCCCCAGGTGTATTCCCTCCTCCTTGGTTCCGCCTTTCCAGCACACTGCCTCTTCTGTTTTTAACCTCCTCTTCCTTTCTATTGGTTCTCTTAGTCCCCCGGAGTTGGCGCCTAGAGCTGTTGATTGGCTTTCCCGGACGCCTATTGAGGCCACCCGCATACCACGTGGCATTCCTAACGCTAATTGGGCAATTCCACTAGCTGGTTTATTAAGGATCGACGATTGATTGGCTGCTCGGAGGCTTGAGGAGAGGGGCGTGGTCCGACGAAGCCCCACCCCAGCCCCCCAGCCTAGATGGGCCGGCGTTTCAGTGGCTCGCGGCCGCGGAGCTCAAGCGAAGCTTTCAGCTGCCCTTTCTGGCTCGCGGTTGGGATCATCCTCCTGGCCTCACCAAACAGACGGGGGGGGAACGGTCCCGACTGCGGGGCCATGGCAGTAGCCTCCTTGTCCTTCGCCGCCGCTAGCTCTGCCAAGTCTCCGGCTTCTGCGCGAGGGACCCCCACCGCCTCAGCAGGCTAAGAGCCTCTGCCGCCTCCGAGCTGTGAGGGCTACTATGCTTCCACTTTGCTGCTGCCTCCGCCTTCCGCCCGCGCAGGCACTCCTCTGGCTGCCCAGTCCCGCCTCAGGTAACGCCGAGAGAGAGCATAGGGCACACACCCGGGTCGCCACGGCCCGCGCGTGCCGCCGCTACACCGCCGTGGCTCCGGAGCATTGGCGCTCCCGTCTCTCAGCACGACAGGACCCCTTTCGCTTCCCAAGGTCCTCCTGTGAGCGGCTGGGGACACTTCTCGACCCCTTCCCCTTCCCTTTTCACTTCTCTCAGAGTCCCGGGATAACCCTCACCTCTACCCCCGCCTTCTCGCCTCAGAGGCCGGGGACCCATTAGAAGTTCCTTGGTATCAGGGACCTGGTCCTTGACTCCTCTCAGGGACTTTTCTCCCTTCACACTCAGGAATCCTTTATTTTCTCGGAGAACTCCTGTTTCAGAGACCTCCAGCTCCACACTGAGAGCCTCCCTCATCTCCGTAATCCCTCCTCCCTCAGAGATCTGGTCTCCCTCACTTTACTTCCCTCAACCATATTCTCTGGAAACTTTCCACTTACAAACTTGAAAATACTCCGCTCTCCCAGACACTACTGTCTCCTGCTTTTCTCTATTCCTGTCATACCTCGTTCTCCCTCTCTGCCTTTTATCTTTCACTGGGAAGACTCTGGACTAAGCCAGTATTTCCATTTAGCTAGAAATGAAACCCATGGTTTTGTGTGTTTTGTTTTTATTTTTGAACCCCATGTTTGATCTAAAGACCTTTCCGTTTATAACTCTGAGAAAACGTTGCTGAAGAATTTGTACTTTATTCTGTAGGTATGGGAGGCCATTGAAGGTTTTGTTTTGTAAGCAGAAATTTGGTATGATTGATTATGTCTGGAGGAAGAATTGAAAGTGAAGACAGTGTGGAGGTAGATGAAACCCAGGTAGGCAGGAAACCAGTGTGCTACACTAGGTCAGAGGGGATGAACTGGAATAGTGGTAGGAAAATGAAGCCCATGGCATGCAGTCCAGGAGGTTTCAATTCCATGATGTTTCCAGAGTTGAGAGGGAAGTTTCTGACTTCGTTGGTGGGATGCATTGGTTGTGTTAATTGTAATAGGGAAGGAACATAAAGAAGCAGTTTTGAGGGAAGGTAATGTTCCCTTTGGACATGTTTAATTTGAGGTATTTTTCATCTCTTAAATTTTTTTATAATGTTTTTTATTTATTTCTAGGAGAGAGAGAGAGAGAGAGAGACAGCGTGAGCAGGGGAGGGTCATAGAGAGAGGGAGTCACAGACTGAAACAGGCTCCAGGCTCTGAGCTGGCAGTCAGCACAGAGCCCGACGCGGGGCTCGAACCCACGAACCGCGAGATCATGACCTAAGCGAACGTCGGACGCTTAACCGACTAAGCCACCCAGGCGCCCCTGAGGTATTTTTCAGATATTACTGTGGGGTCTGAAATTTGGGAGAAAGGTTGGAACTGAATACATATATTTGAGGGTCAACAGAGAATAAAACAGCGATATTTGAAGACTTAGTATGGGATGATAG